CTTTCCCTCCTCACAATGTTGGTTTTTTTGGTTTAGTATTGTATTAAATAAGAGAAACAAAACTCTTCTCTCACTCCTTGCCCCCATCACCCCCTAACTGAGTCAGGTCAGCTGTCATTAGTCCTTCTTCAATTTCTTTCTTGTTTCTTATTGACTTGATTTCTAGTCTGGTGAAAATAATGTCTTCAGTAGCAGAAGCTGTTACATGTAAAGCAAGAGCCTTTAGTGGGACCATTGCCAGTGAACAGTAGATCAGTGTGTATCTTAAGTTTGTTTTTTTTAACACTTAAATAAAAATGAATTTTATGAAGCTTCAAAAACTACATATTGCGCAATCTCCCGTCTTTGTAGATGAAGATGATTGTCCAGATCTTTCACCAGCAGCACCAAGTGAATGTATAATTAAAATTGGCCCTGAAGATGCAAAAACATCAAATGTGAAACCAGATAAGATGGAAGAAACATTAACTTGCATTATCTGCCAAGAACTGCTGCATGACTGTGTGAGGTGGGTGTGACTGACAAAAGCTGTGATCATGTGGTAATAATACAAGAAGTTCAGTGACAACAGTTTCAGGAGGCCAGGACATTTAGGGGTTTTACAAGCCCTTCCAAGTCCCATTCTCAGTCTACATAGTCAAATCAATGCTAAACTGATCGCTAAATGCTAGGATTTTGAGTGCAATGACTGCATCTGAAAAGTTAAAGATTTGTGTTTGGACTCTATTTCTTATTTTCATGTTTGTGTTTTCCAGCTTGCAGCCTTGTATGCATACTTTTTGTGCTGCCTGCTACTCAGGATGGATGGAAAGATCTTCTCTATGTCCAACTTGTCGTTGCCCAGTAGAGCGTATTTGTAAGAATCACATATTGAACAACTTGGTTGAAGCCTATCTGATTCAGCATCCAGGCAAGTTGTACAGCGTGCGGAAACCAGTCTGATGTTTCACACATTAGCTGCCTAACTGATGTATGCCCAAACTGTTGCTTGTTAAATTGCCACATATGCTTTATTACTTTGCTGTTTTCTCTGACATGGCTGTAAGAAAACAAGTGTCTTTAATATGGCATAACAACTTGTAATATTTCAAATACTGGGTGAGGATTGAAGGTAATTTAATACCATGGCTGGGTATTCTAAGAATTCTTCATTTTATTTTGCTGCTTAATCATTAAAAGGATATCAGTTTTCTCAAATATGGCACACTGACTGATTAGGCCACCTAAATTTGCTTGCTTCTGAAAAATGACACTTGAATATGGATTTAATTAACTTTGATCATGACCTCATGATCAAGTTATTTTTTTTGTTGAAAACAAAACTTAAATTGCCTGATACTACACTGCCATTAACAGAGAGGGGAGTTAAACTATGATCTTCTAGACCTCTTTTATCCAAAAATAAGTTTTATGGAAATGAAAACACAGTAGCGTGTGTGGATAAAGTAGGGTGGGAATAAGGGATGTGAGATGGTTTTCTCTCTTGAAATGTGAATTTGGGTCTCATGCCAGATAAATGCCGCAATGAAGATGATGTACGCAGCATGGATGCTAGAAACAAAATTACTCAAGACATGTTGCAACCTAAGGTGCGGAGATCTTTTTCAGATGAGGAAGGAAGTTCTGAAGATTTATTGGAATTGTCAGATGTAGATAGTGAATCGTCAGATATCAGGTATGCCTTAAGTTGTAGCCTGAATTAGATTTACTTAGGTTTGAATGCATAAACCCAAAAACTGAGCTAGTTTCACAAATGCTGTTATGGCTGATAGTGTTTCAGTGGTCACTGCCAGAATGAATCTTGTTTTCAGGTAAGCTCAGTCTCACCAGTAATTACCTTGGCAATTCTACTGGCCATCCTACTGAACCTTGAGCAGTCAACAGAAAATAATTGCAATTAGTACTTCCTAGAAGTCCAGCAGGATTCAGTTTATGACCAACAGTTCTATCCTGAATTGTGCAAGAGCCACATGTGAGATAGCTGAAATTACGTTTTCTGATTACAAACTGGCCGTTTCTTTAGAGAAAACAGCTTTCTGGCTAATTTCTTGTCAGGAGATAAAGCAATCCATGACCCTATGAGTGCAGCTGTGATGATTGTGCTTTCTTACATGTCTGGAATGCTGCTTTCACCAGGTGTATGGTACTGAAGCAGCTGATGCTTGACCTAGAGATTCTCAGGCACCAAAATATCTCCTCTTTATTTCTAGCAGCAAACATTTTTTGCTGTATGTCTAGAGGAGAACAGAAGAACTCTTCATGTAGATAATTATTCCAGCTTTGTTCCTCTCTTGTTCACTTCACTTGTTGTCACACTGCTCTTTTTTTTTTTTAAGTACATGGAGAATACTACAAAATACAAAATTTTTATCTGTTACACCCACAGCAGTCTTCACAGCTGTGAGGTACTGAGTTATGTAAACTTCCATATGCTACTGGATGAAAAAACTCCAAATTTAAACTTTGAAATTCTGACCAAGCCTGTCTAGCATGGGGATATGAGTTATGTTTGCATTTGTTGGGTGTGATTTCCTATAACCTTTTTTCATTCTTTCAGTCAACCATATATAGTGTGCAGACAGTGCCCAGGGTATCGAAGACACTCTGTTCCAACTCTGCCTGGCACAGGCCAAGAGACAGAAGCAGGAGGAATGCAAGCACTGGGAGATGCGCCATCTACATCTGCCAACTTTCCTGCAGGTCAGTGGCAGGAAATCTTCTCAGCAGTGTGATGCTAAATTTCCACAACTCATCCACCCGTCAGGAGCTAAGCGAGCTCACTCCCATAGTGCTGCGGGAGTGGTGCCGGTTCACACAGGGGTCTTTGCAAATGTCATGAGGTTTGACCATGGTTTTCCTGTGGTTGTTCAAAAAGGATTGCTGATGGTTGGTAGTTCTGCTGTTCACTTTTTAGTGTAGAAGCCTGAATGCCGTTTTTCTGTTCTTTAATAGAATCTTTTTAAAAATGGTGTTGCTTGCTTGTTACTCTGAGATTATGTTGATAATATTCACTAAGATTCCAAGACGAAATTGCAGTTGTGTACTTTGTTCTGTCTGTCCTTATTTTTCACCCTGTTTTTCACTCATCTAGCTGTCCAGGAATATGTGTGTCCTGCTCAAGGGAGTCATGTAATATGCACCTGCTGCTTTCAGCCAATGCCTGACCGAAGAGCAGAGCGTGAACAGAATCCTCATGTTGCTCCTCAGCAGTGTGTGTACTTTTTTTTTTTTTTTAAATCTTGGCTACAGAACTAAATATCCCCTTATTTTTCATTAAATTTTAGTTTACTTTGAGGAGCGTTTTTTATTTTAATATTCTTTATCTGGATGTTTGTAGAGACAGCATGAAAGAATCTTCCTTTATAAAATTTATTATTCCTCTATAGAATGTATTTTAAATGAGAAAGTTGTATTTCTTGCCACCAAGTTTATCAGGGCTCTGTTTTTACTGATTTGTAAGAAAAAATAACTGAGTTTTTTTTGTGATCAGGTCCTTACAGGGGTTTTCTTTGTTATTTTACAGGTACAGTTTGTCTGCAACCCTTCTGTCACTTATACTGGGGCTGCACTCGGATGGCATGTTTTGGCTGTTTGGCACCATTCTGTGGTATTGTAGAATAATCTGTTTCTTATGAGCCTGCTCACTTTGCAATAATGTCTGTCTGTCTTGAACTTTAGGTAACTGAAGAAATACAATAGATGAGTTTGTAGCACAGTCATGCTAAAGGAGACAAAGACATGTCCTTGCATCACAAACGTAAAAAAATCTTGAGTGGTATGTGTGTTAACTTTGAGAAGATCTAACTTCTTGTCTACATACCATGTTGGCCATGAAAACTATACTTGTGCACAGTGCTTTCCTGTACAGAAGGAGTTTCAGCCTAGTGAGAGAATCATACAAATCAGTGCAGGAGTACTCAACATCTGATGATAACTGATTAGCAGAGAGCCTTACTCTCTTAAACATGCAGACTTCTGAAACTCAAGGTTTTAGGCATTTTAAAAATAATTAGAACAATTGAAATTACTTGGCTGCAGTTTGAAGCTAATGAAACATGCTTTATTAGACCTGTTAATTTGTGCAGATTGGTAGTAATGTTTGTGGACTAAAGGTGACATTGTAAAATCTTAACGTCTTGATTGCCACTGGAAGTTACACATCACATGCTTCAGCATATGGTGAATGCAGTCATTTACTTGCTGCTCACATGAGTCTGTGGATGTTATTTCAGGAAAAATCTGGGAAAAAAAAACCTGTGAGGGCTCTGTGATTGGGGAAGAAATTGTAACTTTTCTTCTTGTTTTGATTAGAAATAAACCTTGGTGATAAGTGTTTAGATGGAGTCCTAAATAACAACCACTATGAGTCAGACATCCTAAAGGTATGTTTAAAAATCATTAGGTATGTTGCATAATCATAAATGTACAAAGCTTAAGATGTACTCACTCATTAAATGATAGTGATGTGCTGCCTAACAATTACAGTGGCAGCATTGCATCACTTGGCAGCACCTGAATCTGAAAGTCACATTTTAATGAGCCCTTAAGTTTCAGCTGGAGCAAAGTTATAGTTCCTGTGTCTAGACTGGAGGTATTTTGGGTGATAATTCAGTCTCTGAGTAAGGGGGTATTGCATTCTAGAGATGTATTCCATTTAGCATCAGCTCTTCCCATGCCACCCAAATCATCAACAACAAAGCATTCACTTTCATGCAGTCCTAACATTTAATTTCTCCAACGTGTATGTCTGACAGGCGCCAATAAGGCCAAAATTCTAGACATAACTTCTGAATTTGTATTAAATGACTGATAGATTCAGTATATAATTCAGATACGTTTGTTTTTCAATCATAGAAGAATTTTACTTGTATGAAGCCGGTTTCTACAGTCTGAAGTGTAACATCCAAAATATTAATTAAGAGGAAAATAATTCACTAAAAATACACCAAGAAAATAAGGCTTGCTGAATTTTTTTTTTTTTTTCCCAGACAAGTTAAAATTCATGCTAGGTTGCATCAATTATTTTGCCCATACCATAATGGGATTATCTGAATTAGGTAGCCTGGATGAAATCTTGTTTGAAGGTAAATGCATTCTTTTGGCAACAGTGGGGATTTTCTGAAAAAAAAGATAAAGTGGAAGGTTTTATTTGTGATCTGAAACTGCAATGCTAATTACATAAAAGATATTTAATTTTTACTTGTCATCAACATTAACCCATTTTCAAAATATACTTAATTGATGGGGTATCTGAGGAAGTATTTGAGGCTAAATGGTTTGGTCACTCTTTAATGTTGGAAATCTTTTTTCTCTTTGCAGGATTACCTGGCATCCAGGGGTTTGACGTGGAAAAACGTGTTACATGAAAGTCTCCTAGCTCTTCAAAGGGGAGTTTTTATGTTGTCAGGTATGTGTTATGTTCATTTTTATACATATGTAGCTCTTTGTTCATATATATAACTCAGTAATATTAGCAAGAGGTCTGAAGTTCTGTATACATAACCAGTGCCATCATGACATTTTTTTAAAAACCTAATTTCTCAGGTCTTACACTGACATTTTGTACAAACTGGTTTTCTCCCCAGATTACAGAATTACTGGGAACACAGTGCTTTGTTACTGTTGTGGCCTTCGCAGCTTTCGAGAACTTGCCTACCAGTACAGGCAGAATATTCCTGTTGCTGAATTGCCAGGTGGGGATTGCTTCACCCAGTAAAGAGGAAAAGTCATTTAAAGGGTTAAAGTCGGTTTTACTCTTGTATCTTTGGGTTTTTTAGTACCTTCCTGTAGCCCAGTGCAAATTTCTTTGCAGGGCTAATATCATCCTATGCTCATTGCTTTACTTGCTAGCTGCTAAGTTTGCATATAGTTACTGGCAGACCCCCTAATGGAAACTTCTTTCCCTGTAGTTTCTCATGTGTGGAATAAATGTATCTGCATAGAGAAAAGAGGAATTTGGTAAAATCCAGAATATAGTCAATAGGAAGTAGTTGCTGTAATTTAATTTATTTTCCCATTTAGATACATAAAATTCACCTCACATTTTACCAACTCTCTCAACTAGGAAGAAGAAGGTTTTCATAAATGAATTTTAAATCTGTTTGCATTTACAGTTTTAGTTTAAAATAGCATGCAAGCAATTGTGCATCCCTCAATCCTAAATCTGCTGGGAACAGAAGCTCTTCCAGCAGTCTACTTTTCTATGTTACATTTGTCTGTCTAGTTCCTGTTGTTAACAACAGCTTCCCTGTGTTTGACTGTTGAGAACTCTGCTTCTGCTGCTGTGGAGACAGTATACTATGGTTCTTAGCATTGCTTTTTATTTTAGTGTAACAGCCTGCTGGACAGACAGATTATAACGTATGTAGAAGCGGGGAAAAACCCAACAAACTCTGCTCAAATTCATTAATTTTTCTTTTGTATGGACATGTGTCTAGACATATACCTGCTGTCCTAAGCTGTAAAGTTCATCTCTGGTCAACTAAATGGTAAAATTTCACTTGATAGCACTGAGAACCAAATCCTTTCATCGTAAGCCTGCATGAGCCTCATATTTAGAATGAATTTTTTGTCCTTCACCATTTGCTTTGTTTCTAGAAAGGTGAACCAATACAGCTTAGTTGTTTCTTGCCAATCATGACTCGTTTCTCTACAAAGCTTGCTTTGATGAGTAATCACCATTAGCAGTAGCTTAACCATCTACATCACCTTATTTAGTGACTTCTGTAATAAAGGCAGCATTCCATGTGCTCTTCTTGTAGTGACTGTCACATCACGGCCTGATTGCTACTGGGGGCGCAACTGTCGAACTCAGGTCAAAGCACATCATGCCATGTAAGTCAGACCATTTACAAAGTGGGCTTGGTTTTCCTTTCTTTCTTTTTTTTAACAGATGACAATAACAAAACCCCTTTGAAATGCTAGAAATTGCATGAGTAACACTGCTGCAGCACGAGCAAAGTCGGGTGAGCTTTGGGTTGGGGTTTTTTTGTCATTGTTATTTTTAACACAGCTTTGAAATGAGCCCTTCCTGCATGTCAGAAGGGCACTGCTAGCACTTGTCAGTTGATGTAACCCATTCCTGACACCTTGAGTCTTGTTTTCCACCCACAACTCCTCCTTTATTCCTATTCTTCCACTGAGACAGTGTCTCATTTGCTCATGTCTCGATGCTTTAAGATCATTGTACATACAATAGTTAACACTGTGCAATTTACATTTGAAACTATGAGAGACTTTTCTAGTGAAGTGCAAAGTACCTTAGAGGGATAAATCAGTGGGAATAATTTGCTGCAAGAGAAGTTTGGAACATGTAACATTAGGAACTTGGTGTGGCTTAGCAGTTCCTGGTTTTGGAGGAGTTCTAGGTCTTACACCTCAGACCCAAGCAGTCTAACATATGGTGAAAATTAAATACTGAGCCTGAAAAGAGATTAACCCTCTACTTCTCCAGTGTTTTAGTACATCTAGGGGACATGGACTTCTGGTATCTGGTCATTCATGAGAACTGTCCATCCAAAATAAAGGTCCTTGGTTAAAAAAATTCAAGGCCACTGATAATCAGTGCAATTTAATTCTTACAAAAAGATTCACGTGTGGCAAGATAAATACTAAAGACAAAACAAAAATTATCTACCTAAGAGCAAACTGGTTCTAGGGAGGGCAGAAAAATCCTTCTTGCTCTATGAATAATTCTCTAAATTCTCAATGCAATTTAAGATAGGGGGCCTATTGCCTCTTATTGAGAAATGGCTTTAATGAATTAGTAGGTTCTGCAGTATCTTTCTAATGCTGCAATGAACATACACACTTAATATTAATTCCTTTAATATTTCAGGTAATACAAGTTGAAAATAAGCAGTCTGTACAGTTCAGGCAAGCAGATAATAAGAAAGATTTGTGAAATATTCATCCTCAGCCTCTTAAAAACTCAGAGGGTTTTACCAACTAACTTTCAAAAATTTGGGATTTAAGTTGCAGATGTAATTTGAAGTACCACTGCTATCTGTAACTTCACATTACAGGGCTGTCTGTGTTCCCAGAGGAGATTTTGTTTTGAAATGTTATAGAGATAATTCAGTATCAAAGTACTCACCGTTCGTCTTTGTTCATATTGTGCTGGATAATTCCATCTAGAATAGAAATGGCTCAGGGTTGTTGTTTTTTCTTTTTTTTTTCTTTCTTTGTTGTGCTTTTTTTTTTTTTCTTTCAAGCATTAGCTGTTCCTACAACTTTACTGGCTGCTGCTCTTAGTCACCAAAATCCATAAAAGCAAACCGTTCTGTCTCATATATAGATACCTAGATATGGTAGATACTCCTAGATACCCAGTTATGGTGAGTTTGGTTAATGTGTATTAGTTTTTTATTGATCTGAACTGTTTTGCCAAGTAGTTTGGCTGTGTAAGCAAGGTGTCTTTCTAATCTTTAATCTAATTCAGCAAGAAGGAGAAAATATATATATGTGGAGATAATGCAGAAGAGACTATAAATGTTTGACACTCAACAACCCAACTCCTCTTTCAGTTATGTATCAGGGGACACATAACCCAAGTATGTGAAAAACAAAGATGAGCTATTTTTGAGAATTGAAAAGAAGTGCCTTGTACAAAATCATGTTATCTATTTAATTACTGAAGACAGGCTTGCCATTCCCATAAAACCTAAATAGTACAGAATGAGAGAAACTAATTTTTCTTTCACTGGCTTAGAATCATCTTCTGGAAAGAACATGTTTATGTTGAAATATATTATTAGTCTGTTTAATTCTACTTCTTAGTGACTTGTGTAATGCTGTCTACTAAAAATTACTAATGTCTCACGGGGCAAAATTAATTCACTGATTCCTGTCTTATTTGCCTTCTGGGTCTGAAATATGCAGAGATATAGAGGAATGCTTTTAATAACAGGTTTTCTGTGAGCATAATAAAACTAACATAGGTTAGGCAGGGGAGATGTTGAAAGTCCTGTTACAGATAACATGATAATAGAGTACAATCTAAATAGGTTCTGAAAAACAGAGAGGTTAGTGTGTAAATGTTCTGCTTTAAACTGCTTAACGTTTAAATTACCCCGTGAAAGATGCTGACTGTTTTTTGTTGCCTGACTTCTGAGAACTTTGTTACATTTTAATACCACTTATTTTTTTGTCTTTCAGGAAATTCAATCACATTTGTGAACAAACACGATTCAAGAACTGAGCATTTGTAGTCTGTAGAGAGGGAACAAAAACCTGTTACACTGCTTGTACAGTTTAAGGTTTCAGGGGATCTTCTCAGTTCCCCCATAGCAGGGAATCAGTAACTTTTGCATCAGGCAGCCTGGTGTGAATGTTGTAATTTGTAGAATTTTACAGCTGTACATGAATAAGGTAGATTTTTCTTTTCCAAGAAAGTTCAACAAGCATTGCATTCCATCCTCCTGACTACAGTGTCCCTGTATCACTTCAGTGAAGAACACAAACAGAAATCAAACACACAAAAACCAGCCATATCTTGGGAAGACCTAAGAATAAGGAGTGTATTTGCACTACTTGTGAAGAAACTAAGAAAAATCCTTAGACTTAAAATAGAAATGTTTTGTAAAAGTATCTGATAGGTATTTCAAGAGCCATTAATATTTAAGAAGGAAATTCAGTGTATATTTGTGACTGCATTTTGCGGTAGCCTGATATTTGTCACTACCCACTGCATTTGGGCTACAACCCTGTCAATGTTCACTTCAGAAAAATCCGTCCATTAAACAGTTGTTTCAGCTTAAAGCTTCTACCATATGTGCAGTGTTACAGTGGAAGTAGCAGTTTCTGTTCTTGGTTTGATCATGTTGATGGTTTTATTCACATGAAATTGCAAAAATAATTGCACAAAAATTTGAAAATCACATTTAAAGTTGGGGTAATACTTGAAGCAGAACAGATTTCTGGTTATATTACTTCTGTAGTGTTTTATATCAGAAGACCAAACAATGCTTTTGACATAGAGCAGCCAGTAGGACACACTGGTTCATTTTTTGTATTTTTGTTTTGATACCATATGCTGAATTATGTACCTCTGCCATGCAGCTGTTCTCTAGCATGCATACACTGGTAAAAATGTAGAAAAAGCTGTAATTTAAAACAGGATATAGCAACTTTACTGGAAGGAACAAGCTTACAGAAAATAATTCAGTTTGGATAAACTGTAGCAATATGGAGGCATTTCTGGATAGGGATGGGCATGATGAAGGGGAACACTGGTGTCATTGACATGAAAAAACGTACATTTTGTTCTCATGCCTTCTGCAGAGCTCGTTCAGGAAACGTCCTAAGTATCATTTAAAAGAAATCCAGACAAAACCCAACACAGCACACTGCCCCAGATTGATATGATCTGATCTGTTTCATCATAATCTGGTAGCTAATGCTGACAAACCTCAACTGGGACCAATTTTTCTTTTTCGTCATACCTTAGAAGAACGAGAAGAAAGCATACAAAGTTACCTCTGTAGATGCCATGTTGTTTTTAAGTATGCCTTATTTTATGAGCAGCATTTATACGTCAATGTTAGTAGTGTACTCACAATATCTTGTGATACAATGGAGCACAAATGATTCAGCACATCGTGTCTACTGGTGTCAGTGCATTCAACAACCATTTCCAGTAATGGACATCTTAATATGAATGCTAATTATAATGGTGCATTTCTGTTTAGATGTTTATTTTTTAAAATAGCTGTTGCAAGGGTGGGTCTGTTGACCATGCCTGTATGCTATTAAAAATACACTTTGGTGTGGACTTCTCTTCCTAATCTCTGGGCATTTTCTCCTGTGAGTAGGATTGAAATTGGATCTGGAATAATACTTGAAACTTCTTTTAACAACAACAGTGTGTTTCTGTCTTTTAGTATTATTAACAATGTTCTGTTGCTTCTGTATTTGTATTTTATGTTTAGAATTTTTTAATGGTTATTATATCTTCTCAGGACAACCATTCCCAGCTGTTTTTGATCTCGTTTTCATCTCTGGCTGTGCATGTAGCAAATTGAGTGCAGTTGTGGAGATCAAGCCTTTGCACATTATGTGCAGAAATGTGCTTTGCATTCTCATTCACCACTTCCCACACCCCAGATGGGCTTTCAGCAGAGACTTGTCACTGTGCTAGTGTTCAAGCCTCTTGTGCTGAAATTTTTTTGTGGGTCAAGCATAATGTGTCTACAGTACTATGTACAACCTCGCTTGCACTTACTCAAGTTACGTTTGTGTAGGGATGTATTGTGTGACTTTAAGAAAAAAAAAAAAAGGGGGGGGAAAAAGCCAAACAACAGACCTCACCTGCTTAACATCTAAACTACCTGTGCAGTAGAGGTTCTTCAGATTGCTTTCATAAACCCCTCTTCCTTTTCCCTGTTACAGATAATTAATCTGCCTTTCTATGCATATAGGGTTGCGGTAGTGCAATGGAATGAAGGGATTTTTTTCATCATTTATATTGTACCAGGAAGAGATGAGAAATTAACTTGCAGATGGGGAGGGTGAATAAATCCTGATCTTTATATGCTCTTAAGTAAGTAAGAGTATCTGTTGTGGGTATTACATACTCTATACATTAGATCTTTTTAAATGTATGGTTACCAGGTGATAGTTAATGTGATAAATGTATGAACTATGCTTGGTGTAATTGTTTAAATACTGTAAAGGTGCAGCATATTTTTAACCTGTCTAAAGCACACCCCCACCTCCTTTATAAGAGATATTTGGAAGCTAAGCATGAAATGTGGTAGAATAGATGTTGTGAAGACCAAGGTGATTATGATAGGGTTTGACATAGTGGTGAACAAGGTATATAGTCTCTCTCTTTGAGAAAGTTCTTTTATAAAGAAGGTGGAGAGTAGTTCTTCCAGTTCTCTTTTGTGATTTATTTTTTCCTGAACTAAGAAGTTATTAATTAAAAAAAAAAAAAAAGATATTAACTGAAGTTGTCTGTTTCTGTTTCTTCTATGGCATATTCTCTCACCATAGAACTGGATGTATAGAGCACTTGGCAATGCTTGGGCAAGCTATTAGTTATTTGAATGTTGAGATTTTACAACTGTCATCCTTCAACTTGGTGTAACTGTAAGTGACATGAGTTTTTATGTTGTTCCAAGAAATTCTTACAGAATTTCTCAAAAGTGTCAGATGATATCACAAAGGATCATCAGTATCTCTACAGGATTTGTAACTAATGATAGAAGCAAAAAATTATTAAATAGAATTCATTTTTGTCAACAAGATTACTTCAAACTGTTAGTAAATAAAAAAAAAAGTGGATACTATTTTAATTTCTTGCAACACCATAAACGCTGAAGTAACAAACACATCACTACTGATTTAATAGCAGGCTAGAGAAAATTATGGTCATATTGTGTTTGTCTTTACAATGACCTGATTTGTATAAGCAATAAGATTTCAAATGGCCACTATTATTAGAACTTTCTCCAACTAGAACTTTTCCCTTCCTGAGGACTTGCAGCGTGTTCTGTCTGAGGTGGAAGACAGCGATGCTGGAGATGTTAAGCTTCAAATTGCAGTTTAGGATCCTGGGATTTTTGCACTGCTGCCATTCCCATGCTTGAATGTAGATGTTTTTCAATGTTGTAGCTAATCTATAGTCCTGTTCTTAAACCAGCTGTCATTTGTTCTTCAGACTGAATTTAAGAGAAATTCAAGCACGGGTTAAGTAATGTAACAGTGAAAGTGCTGTGGTGTTCTGTACACCGTAAGGACGAGCTGGTAGACCTTAAAGCTCTTAATGGTTTTGGCTTCCCCTGCAATTGCATTGGCAGATTTAAGTGTTTTATACTCCATTATGTCAACAAATGGCTTGTAACTAATTTAGTTTGAGGAAGCTGCTGATTTTGGATTTATGCCCTATCAGGTGATTGGTTCTGGCACAGCATAAGCTCCTCAGAGCACTTCCTCCATAAAGAATAAAGAAAGATGGTAGCATGATTGTGAGAAAGAGAGCACAATATACAGCCTTTTGCAGCTGGAATAGCTGACACGATTCTGATCTCAACAGCCTGTGTTAATCTGAGAGCCCTCAGCCTGTCTCAAGTAATTGAATCGGGAACTGTAGGATAATTTGTGTTTAAGATCTGATACTGTTTTCCTTGAATGTAATAGAAAAATCGTGGTACTTGACACTCAGAGATCAGTCATTAGCTCATTCTGCAATCAAAATATACCCATTTTGTACCAATTTCTAGTCTTCAGCAGAACTGTGCAGTGCAGATGGCTTAGCCTACAGCAGAG